TTACTTCACTTAGAATGACATTCTCTAGGAGCAATACTTTTGAAAACTTAAATGGACGTTTTTAACCCACTCTTTATATTTTTGATTTGTTTTAAGGATAAGAATCTTAAATTCAACATATTGAAATAGATGATGATAATAGATCTTAAAATCTTTTAATTTTTCAATAACAATCTCAAGATGTATAATGCTTTACCATTTACACAATGCTTTCACCTATTACTGACTCAGCAGATCCTTGGAATGTAAGAGCTTGACAGATGTTTGTGGGATGAATGACTAAGTATGTGAATAAATGAATGAATGAGTGCATTTCATTGAATCCTTAGACTGCAGTAATACCTGGATGGGGCAATATTCCTGCATTACAGATGAGAAAACAGGCTCACTGTCATGATGCCTGGGACAGTTAGGAATCAAATAGGGCATTCTGACTTCTACTGCACCGCTCTTTCCTCTACATAGTGTAATGTCTAGTATGTAATGTATTCTGTATAATGTGTCTATAACACAGTACCGTTCTTCCATGGAGCTGTGCTTAAGAACATGGGAGTCATCTGCTCCATTCGTCTATTTCTTTTGAGGCACACTCTTGATACTTTTCCTTTTGAAATGTTTCTCTTTTTTCTCTCTTTGTTTCTATTTCATTGATACCAACCTAGTCTAAGTCCTCCTAACTGGCAGCTGATTATATCATCCTATAAATGGCTTCTTGAAATGTTCCTTAAAGACATCGGTAGAGATTGTAATCGTATGCACTGATGCCGGGAACAACAAAGCTAATTAGTTATATGATACCTGAATAATAAATCTTCCATGAATTTTCATTTTTTCTGACAATTAAAACTGTATGTGCTGTTTAAACCCTGCCATTCTTTCGAAGGTTAATTCCAATTTAACTGAGATTTAGCCACCTGTCATTTTTCATGAGCAGCAAAACAGTGGACCAAGTCAGATTTCTGTAGTTTCTACCATGAGAACCTTTAAGAGTAGAGACTGTGCAAGGGAGCAGCTCTGTTTCAGAGATTTAGGTGTCCTTCATTTCAAGAGTAAGAAATTATTTGTTCTTAGTATGATGTGGATTATTAGAGACCCCTGGAAACATGCTGTAATTACTGACATTATATGCTATGGAAGGAGTTCTTTTAATTGTTGTACCCTGTAAAGAGGTTTGACAATATGTATTCAAACTATTATATATCATGTATTCATTTCCTGCCATCAGAATTACAAATGTTAGACTGTATTATTTGGCTTCACAGTCACTGCTGGAGTTCACATTGTAGATGAAAGATAGTCTCTGTGTTTCCTATTCTTTTTTAATACATGCATTTATATTAATAGCACGATTTAATACATCACTTTAAAATTATATTGCACTTTGAACTGCATTTAGTCAAAAATTGACATCTTATGCACGCGGAACCATAATAAGTTTAGCATTAAATTAAGGAGTCATCTGTCTGTTTGCTAGAATGTAGTATTTGTGAATTCTAGCATGTCCAGAGCTAGGTAATGAGATTGAAAAGTGGGTGTCAGATGTTACATTAATTTGTGTAGTTTAACTTATGACTTATTAGCTTTGGGGAATTTTTTTCCTGGTTACTACCTACTGTTGTGTTTATATTTTGAAGTCACTGGATCCTTGATGATTCTGGTGTCATACAAAATATTCGTACCATCGACATAGAGGCATGAGTTGCTCTGGTCACCTATGACTTACTCGAAAATGTAGTTATACAGCATACTGTGAAATTGGAAAATCTGTTCTGTGTGTGTTCTAATGGATGAAACGGTCATTAAGTATATGAGTCTTCTGACGTTGTAATCAGATGTGATTCAGTCTGGTAAATATCCATGAAACAACATCTGCTTCACAGAGTGACCTTCTGCTAAAGAATACTTAGCATCTATTAGTAGATCATAGTGCAGATCTGCCTTATTTGAAATGCACTAAACTAGAGTCGTCTACTGCTGTTTAGCAACTAGCTTGTAATAATTTATTGCAGTTAAATAAAGCTTTAAAAAACTCCATTAAATAATTATAGGGATTATATGCATTTCCAGAACCTTTGTGTTCTACTGAAATTACCCATTTAATTTCAGGGTTGGTTTGTTAAAAAAAGCTGAAATCTAAAGGCACATTAGGGGAGCTGTCAGATGCTGTTTTCTGTAGGTGTTAATAAAACCAGATGAAAAAAAAAAATCTGAAACAAATTAAAACCAAAAGCAATTTTACCATCTGTTGTATATTAATTAGAACTTTGTGTATCAAGGGTAAACTTGCTCTTAGAGAATGTCACTGAACACCCGCTTAATAGAATAATATGCAAATATATTAGGTTATAGATTTATATGCAGTTTTTATTCTAATTCATCTGCAGTGGATCCCCAAGAAATTGGTAGTGTGTATAGATGTGTATGTACACATACATATATATATATATAATGGGTTTTCTTTTCTTTTTTCAGAGCAACCTGCAAATAACCAAGGCCAGTCCACCCTGCAGCCTTTGCCACCTTCCCATAAGCAACACTCTGCACAGCATCATCCATCCATCACTTCTCTCAATAGAAACTCCCTGACCAATAGAAGGAACCAGAGTCCGGCCCCGCCGGCTGCTTTGCCCGCCGAGCTGCAAACCACGCCCGAGTCCGTCCAGCTGCAGGACAGCTGGGTCCTTGGCAGTAATGTACCACTGGAAAGCAGGTAAGTGCTGACGTGAGACTTGCAGAGTATCTGGTTGTCCGGAGCGCACCGTGTGCCTGCACGGGGGATGCATCGCTGAAAGTAGTCAACAAGCCATATTCTTTTCATAACGTCCGAAGTTGCCAGGTAACTAGTCCAGCCCTTGCCTCAGCAAGAGTTTACCGTTCTTACAGACTCTCTGCTTTGTCTTCCCTCGGAACATTTCCAGATTGTTGGCACTCTTACAGCCGCTGGGCCGGTGAACTTGCCCATCCTCTTCACACATGTCGTAGCCTGCAAGAGATGAGAATAAACGGCTTCAGTGAAACGTTCCCTCATTACCATGGTTTTTCTTATCTGCAGATGATTAGGCATGTGGAGAAAAGGGTGGACATGTAAAATGTGATTCTCAGTCCCATGATTCAGTGAACACGTCAAGCTTCTGCTTGGTTCTAGACATCCCTGCTTCCGCAGACCACATTGTGCCCATTACATCATGAAATCATAGTGGTCTCCCACGTGTGATACTTAAGCACAAGTTCGGATGACCATTTTTTT